CAGACGTCACGAGGTGGGACCGTAACCACAGACGTCACGAGGTGTTACCGTAACCACAGACGTCACGAGGTGTTACCGTAACCACAGACGTCACGAGGTGTTACCGTAACCACAGACGTCACGAGGTGTTACCGTAACCACAGACGTCACGAGGTGTTACCGTAACCACAGACGTCTGGAGGTGTCACCGTAACCACAGACGTCACGAGGTGTCACTGTAACCACAGACGTCACGAGGTGGGACCGTAACCACAGACGTCACGAGGTGTCACCGTAACCACAGACGTCACGAGGTGGGACCGTAACCACAGACGTCACGAGGTGTTACCGTAACCACAGACGTCACGAGGTGTTACCGTAACCACAGACGTCACGAGGTGTCACCGTAACCACAGACGTCACGAGGTGTCACCGTGACCACAGACGTCACGAGGTGGGACCGTAACCACAGACGTCACGAGGTGGGACCGTAACCACAGACGTCACGAGGTGGGACCGTAACCACAGGCTGTAACCACAGACCTAGAGTCATGGAAACACCATGGGACCCTGTGACTGTGAGGCCACAGTTCTTTCCTCCTAAAAGTCGACTACAACAGAATTCAGATTCATTTATTTGTCATTTGCAGTAAAACCACATTCGATGCTGGGAAGACTCTGCAGTAGGTAAGCAGCTGTAGACCTGCACCAGGCTGGGAAGACTCTGCAGTAGGTAAGCAGCTGTAGGCCTGCAGTAGGTAAGCAGCTGTAGGCCTGCACCAGGCTGGGAAGACTCTGCAGTAGGTAAGCAGCTGTAGGCCTGCACCAGGCTGGGAAGACTCTGCAGTAGGTAGGCAGCTGTAGACCTGCACCAGGCTGGGAAGACTCTGCAGTAGGTAAGCAGCTGTAGACCTGCACCAGGCTGGGAAGACTCTGCAGTAGGTAAGCAGCTGTAGGCCTGCACCAGGCTGGGAAGACTCTGCAGTAGGTAAGCAGCTGTAGACCTGCACCAGGCTGGGAAGACTCTGCAGTAGGTAAGCAGCTGTAGGCCTGCACCAGGCTGGGAAGACTCTGCAGTAGGTAAGCAGCTGTAGGCCTGCACCAGGCTGGGAAGACTCTGCAGTAGGTAGGCAGCTGTAGACCTGCACCAGGCTGGGAAGACTCTGCAGTAGGTAAGCAGCTGTAGGCCTGCACCAGGCTGGGAAGACTCTGCAGTAGGTAGGCAGCTGTAGACCTGCACCAGGCTGGGAAGACTCTGCAGTAGGTAGACAGCTGTAGGCCTGCACCAGGCTGGGAAGACTCTGCAGTAGGTTGGCAGCTGTAGACCTGCACCAGGCTGGGAAGACTCTGCAGTAGGTAAGCAGCTGTAGGCCTGCAGCAGGCTGGGAAGACTCTGCAGTAGGTAGGCAGCTGTAGGCCTGCACCAGGCTGGGAAGACTCAGCAGTAGACCTGCACCAGGCTGGGAAGACTGCAGTAGGTAAGCAGCTGTAGGCCTGCAGCAGGCTGGGAAGACTCTGCAGTAGGTAGGCAGCTGTAGGCCTACACCAGGCTGGGAAGACTCTGCAGTAGGTAGGCAGCTGTAGACCTGCACCAGGCTGGGAAGATTGCAGTAGGTAAGCAGCTGTAGACCTGCACCAGGCTGGGAAGACTCTGCAGTAGGTAAGCAGCTGTAGGCCTGCAGCAGGCTGGGAAGACTCTGCAGTAGGTAGGCAGCTGTAGGCCTGCACCAGGCTGGGAAGACTGCAGTAGGTAAGAAGCTGTAGACCTGCACCAGGCTGGGAAGACTGCAGTAGGTAAGCAGCTGTAGACTGCACCAGGCTGGGAAGACTGCAGTAGGTAAGAAGCTGTAGACCTGCACCAGGCTGGGAAGACTGCAGTAGGTAAGCAGCTGTAGGCCTGCACCAGGCTGGGAAGACTCTGCAGCTGGACAGGGCACCAGCGGACAGAAAAAAACTTAACATAGTTATAATACATGATTATCATACATGTCTGTGTCTCTCTCTCTGTCTCTCTCTCTCTGGCCTCTTTCTCTCTGGTCTCTCTCTCTCTCTCTCTGTGTCTCTCTCTCTCTCTCTCTCTGCTGTTAGCACCAATAAACCTCATCATTAGACCGACAGGTCTCTGTCACTTCACTCTCAGACACAAGTTTGTAATGAGCTGTATTATAGACAACTCTGTGTGTAACTGAAATGCTGGTCTGGCCCCTCTTTCTGGTGTCTCTTTCTAATCTCTCTCTCTGGTCTCTCTCTGGCTCTCTCTCCTGGTCTCTCTCTGGTCTCTCTCTGGTCTCTCTCTGGTCTCTCTCTCTGGTCTCTCTTACTGGTCTCTCTCTGGTCTCTCTCTCTGGTCTCTCTTCTGGTCTCTCTCTGGTCTCTCTCTCTGGTCTCTCTCTCTGGGCTCTCTCTCTGGTCTCTCTCTGGTCTCTCTCTGGTCTCTCTCTCTGGTCTCTCTCTGGTCTCTCTCTGGTCTCTCTCTCTGGTCTCTCTCTGGTCTCTCTCTGGTCTCTCTCTGCTCTCTCTCTGGTCTCTCTCTCTCTGGTCTCTCTCTGGTCTCTCTCTCTGGCCTCTCTCCAGTCTCTCTCTGGTCTCTCTCTGGTCTCTCTCTGGTCTCTCTCTGGTCTCTCTCTCTGGTCTCTCTCTCTGGTCTCTCTCTGGTCTCTCTCTGGTCTCTCTCTGCTCTCTCTCTGGTCTCTCTCTGGTCTCTCTCTGGTCTCTCTCTGGTCTCTCTCCAGTCTCTCTCTGGTCTCTCTCTGGTCTCTCTCTGGTCTCTCTCTGGTCTCTCTCTCTGGTCTCTCTCTCTGGTCTCTCTCTGCTCTCTCTCTGGTCTCACTCTGGTCTCTCTCAGCTCGTACCTGCACAGAGAGGGTCTTGGGCTCCTTCAGTCGACTGATGGCTCTGAGCAGCAGATCCAGAGACTCATGAAGGTCACACACGAAAGGAAACAACTTCTGCTCAACACACACAAAAACACACACACACACACACAAACGCACAAACACAAACACATAGCAAAAACACAATTGTCAGAATTTCAAAATAAGTCTTCTGAGGTCAAGAAGACGGACCAAAGAGAGACCAGAGAGAGACCAGAGAGAGACAAGAGAGAGACCAGAGAGACCAGAGAGAGACCAGAGAGAGACAAGAGAGAGACCAGAGAGAGACCAGAGAGAGACCAGAGAGAGACAAGAGAGAGAGACCAGAGAGAGACCAGAGAGAGACCAGAGAGACCAGAGAGAGACCAGAGAGAGACAAGAGATACAAGAGAGAGACCAGAGAGAGACAAGAGAGAGACCAGAGAGAAACCAGAGAGAGACCAGAGAGAGACCAGAGAGAGACCATAGAGAGACCAGAGAGAGACCAGAGAGAGACAAGAGAGAGAGACCAGAGAGAGACCAGAGAGAGACCAGAGAGAGAGACCAGAGAGAGAGACCAGAGAGAGACCAGAGAGAGACCAGAGAGAGACTGGAGAGAGACCAGAGAGAGACCAGAGAGAGACCAGAGAGAGAGACCAGAGAGAGACCAGAGAGAGAGACCAGAGAGAGACCAGAGAGAGACCAGAGAGAGAGACCAGAGAGAGACCAGAGAGAGACCATAGAGAGACCAGAGAGAGACCAGAGAGAGACAAGAGAGAGACAAGAGAGAGAGACCAGAGAGAGACCAGAGAGAGACCAGAGAGAGACCAGAGAGAGACAAGAGAGAGACAAGAGAGAGAGACCAGAGAGAGACCAGAGAGAGACCAGAGAGAGACCAGAGAGAGACAAGAGAGAGACAAGAGAGAGAGACCAGAGAGAGACCAGAGAGAGACCAGAGAGAGAGACCAGAGAGAGAGACCAGACAGAGACCAGAGAGAGACCAGAGAGAGACCGGAGAGAGACCAGAGAGAGACCAGAGAGAGAGAGAGAGAGACCAGAGAGAGACTAGACAGAGACCAGAGAGAGACCAGAGAGAGAGACCAGAGAGAGACCAGAGAGAGACCAGAGAGAGACCAGAGAGAGACCAGAGAGAGAGACCAGAGAGAGAGACCAGAGAGAGACCAGAGAGAGACCAGAGAGAGACTGGAGAGAGACCAGAGAGAGACCAGAGAGAGAGACCAGAGAGAGACCAGAGAGAGACTAGAGAGAGACCAGAGAGAGACCAGAGAGAGACCAGAGAGAGACCAGAGAGAGACCAGAGAGAGACTGGAGAGAGACCAGAGAGAGACCAGAGAGAGAGACCAGAGAGAGACTAGAGAGAGACCAGAGAGAGACCAGAGAGAGACCAGAGAGAGACCAGAGAGAGAGACCAGAGAGAGAGACCAGAGAGAGACCAGAGAGAGACCAGAGAGAGACCAGAGAGAGACCAGAGAGAGAGACCAGAGAGAGACCAGAGAGAGACCAGAGAGAGACCAGAGAGAGACCAGAGAGAGACTGGAGAGAGACTGGAGAGAGATCTTATCCACTTGGAGCAATAGACATTTTCCAACATATTTTTCACAAGGACAACTTCCTAAAGGAACGGGAAGAACATGCAACAGCCCAACTCTAACCACACCCATTTCTAACCACACCGAGAATTCATTCCCTGAAGAAGTCCTTTGGATTGAGGACGAAACGTCGGGAAAACCTGCTAAGAAGTACAGATGATGGGTGAGAAACCTTCCTTTGCTTTGACTAATCCCTGTACGACTGAGGGCTTACACAAACTAACCCTGTGCTGTTTATCTGAGCCTGTGATGTCACCGTTTGTCATGTGTCTGCACTGAGTCTGGACCTGGTGCAGCGAGGACCAGTCGCAGCCGCCCTGTGGCAGAGTGCCGTTCAGCCGACAGCTCAGCTGACCCCCCTCCACCAGCTTCACCACACTCTTCATGGACGTCAGGATCTCAGTCTGAGAAACATAAAACAGTTCAAACTCTTTCTGCTTTCTCTGGTCTCTCTCTCTGGTCTCTCTCTCTGGTCTCTCTCTGGTCTCTCTCTCTGGTCTCTCTCTCTGGTCTCTCTCTCTGGTCTCTCTGGTCTCCCTCTGGTCTCTCTCTCTGGTCTCTCTCTCTGGTCTCTCTCTCTGGTCTCTCTCTGGTCTCTCTCTCTGGTCTCTCTCTCTGGTCTCTCTCTCTGGTCTCTCTCTGGTCTCTCTCTGGTCTCTCTCTGGTCTCTCTCTCTGGTCTCTCTCTCTGGTCTCCCTCTGGTCTCTCTCTCTGGTCTCTCTCTCTGGTCTCTCTCTGGTCTCTCTCTGGTCTCTCTCTCTGGTCTCTCTCTCTGGTCTCTCTCTGGTCTCTCTCTGGTCTCTCTCTCTGGTCTCTCTCTCTGGTCTCTCTTTCTGGTCTCTCTCTGGTCTCTCTCTCTGGTCTCTCTCTCTCTGGTCTCTCTCTCTAGTCTCTCTCTCTCTGGTCTTTCTCTGGTCTCTCTCTGGTCTCTCTCTGGTCTCTCTCTGGTCTCTCTCTCTGGTCTCTCTCTGGTCTCTCTCTGGTCTCTCTCTCTAGTCTCTCTCTCTGGTCTCTCTCTGGTCTCTCTCTCTGGTCTCTCTCTGGTCTCTCTCTCTCTCTCTGGTCTCTCTCTGGTCTCTCTCTCTGGTCTCTCTCTGGTCTCTCTCTCTAGTCTCTCTCTCTGGTCTCTCTCTGGTCTCTCTCTGGTCTCTCTCTCTAGTCTCTCTCTCTGGTCTCTCTCTGGTCTCTCTCTGGTCTCTCTCTCTGGTCTCTCTCTGGTCTCTCTCTCTGGTCTCTCTCTCTGGTCTCTCTCTCTGGTCTCTCTCTCTGGTCTCTCTCTCTGGTCTCTCTCTAGTCTCTCTCTCTGGTCTCTCTCTGGTATCTGACCTGGATTCCTGGGCACCTCTCTGGTCGTTGCTTGTTCTCCTTGTTGACCAACAGCAGCAGAGTGTGAACAGAGCGAGGACACAGCTCCTGACGACACATGAGAAACATGAAGAGAAGTGTCTCTGTGCGTGTGTGTGTGTGTGTGTGTGTGTGTGTGTGTGTGTGTGTGTGTGTGTGTGCACTTGTTTTCAACTCCTGGTGGGTTCCATAACCTGAGATTCCACTCACGTCATGGGGACTGGTTTTACGTGGTGGGGCCCGAACACCGGACCCCACTGGTCCAAGCTTAATAATCAATGGGTAATGCTTTTCTAACGGTCCTTATGCAGTCTCTGTAAAAATATGGAAAGGACCCCTGGAGGTTTACTTTCCTGAAAAAAGTGTGTTATGTGTCGGAACCCTGGTGGTGGGTTGCGGGATATCAAGGAGGGGCACACTGGGGCAATTTCAGTCCAGCAGGCTGGAGCCAATCATGGAGCAGCACAACAGAGGCTGGAGCCAATCATGGAGCAGCACAACAGAGGCTGGAGCCAATCATGGAGCAGCACAACAGAGGCTGGAGCCAATCATGGAGCAGCACAACAGAGGAAATCAGGTGTCAGGCTAGAAAAAGGTGCAAGTGTGTGGTTCATTAGGCTGCAAGAAATCATGGAGGAGCACACTGAAGCGCACGCTTACAAACCACTGGTAAGTGCTGACTACAAGTCATGACTTCAAATTGTTATATAGAATGATTACAAATTATTTGTTGTTTGTGCAGCTTAGTCAAGAGTCCCTAATTGATGAAGTCGACTCAGATTCTGACGATTTAACTGTCAAGAAGAAACCTGTAAAAAAGTATGGAAAAAGAAAAATCAAAAACACTTTTCTTCAAGACTCGGAAAGTGACGAACCAAAGGCAAATAAGATTGTTATCATGCAGCTGCAAAAGAAGAAAAATGGGGGGCGAGTATACAGCAAGAGACACTTCTGCCTCTACTGTTCAATGTCCTGCCACAAAATGTCCCGTCATTTGACTAGAAAACATGGAAATGAAAGTGACGTAGCCAGAGCATTGGCTCTACCTGTGAAATCTAAAGCACGTAAACTTCAGTTTGATTTGATCAGGAATAGTGGAAACCGTGAGCACAATTTTGAGGTTTTAAAGGCCGGCATTGGAACTTTAGTCCCAGCTAAACAGCCAAATTCCCCAGTTAAATCCAGTGAGTTTTTGCACTGTATAGACTGTGGGGCATTGCTTAAGCGAAAGTCGCTGTGGAGGCATGTGGCCAGGTGCCGGCTTTCACAGAAAGATGCCCAGGCTAAACCAGGTAGAAGTAGGGTCCAGTCCCTCTGCTCCCTAGCCCAGCCTGTACCGGAGGGCATCAGCAAAAAGCTGTGGTCTTTAATTTGGGCAATGCATCAGGATGAGGTCACGGGTGTTGTCAAAGCAGAAAAGGGGATTCTGAGACTCGGAGAGCACCTGTACTTAAAACACGGGCATGATAAGACTAAGCATGATTACATTAGGCAGAAAATGAGAGAAGTCGGTAGGTTAATTAACGAAGCAAAAACCGCAGGGAAACTGAAAACAATTAAGGATTTCTTTATTCCTTCCAACTTTAACCATGTGATTGATGCAGTCAGGTCTGTGGCTGGATATGATGAGGAAACAAATCAATACAAGACTCCATCCTTGGCCCTCAAACTCGGCCATAGCCTCAGAAAGCTAGCAGATATTCTTGAATGTGACTCAAAAATGGAGCATTGTGTTGATGAACTATTTATTAAAAACCTCCAACGAAGCCGGCTGCTTTTTGAGAAGAGGTGGGACGTCTGTGTTTCTTCTGCTGCCCTACAGACCCTCCGGCAAGCCAAGTGGAACACTCCGGACCTGCTCCCTCTGACTGAGGACGTTAGAGCCATGCATGCACATATTGAGGTATGTCGACCTGAATATGTGCAAACCCTAATAAGTGAGCCAACGTCTAAGCATTGGTCTAAACTGGCAGTTTTGACTCTTTGTGAGGTCATCATTTTCAATCGAAGAAGGGAAGGTGAGGTTTCAAAGATGCCACTGACAGCCTTTACCTTAAGAAGTAAGACTGGGATCCATTCTGACATTGCTCTGGGACTGTCCCAACTTGAGAAAAAGCTGTGTCAGCATTTTCAACGCATTGAAATTAAAGGGAAAAGAAGTCGGAAAGTGCCGGTTCTTTTGACTCCTGAAATGATTGCTTCGATGGAGGTGCTGGTGGAGAACAGAAGGGCCTGTTCCATCTCTGACCATAACCCATACTTCTTTTCCCGCCCGGGCGCAGACACCCACATCAGGGGATCAGACTCCCTACGCCAGGTAGCCAAAGAATGTGGTGCGGTGCATCCAGAGATGCTATCCTCAACCAAACTTAGAAAGCACATAGCTACTATGTCTACAGTTCTCAATATGAAAGAGAATGAGATGGACATACTTGCCAACTTCCTCGGCCATGACATTCGCATCCACAGGCAATATTACAGACTACCAGAGGGGACACTGGAGCTGGCCAAAATCAGCAAAGTGTTGATGGCCATGGAGCAGGGAAGAGTGACGGAATTCGAAGGAAAGAGCCTCGACCAGATACAAATTGAGCCTGAAGGTAATTCTTGATATTATTAAAAATGCATGATTTTTTTCCCCTAAAGGCCACTTGTATTTTTATTTTCTGTGCGACAGGGAGAGCAGTAGAGATCCTCTCACAAACGGACGGGCTAAAAGAAACTTCAAGCGGAGAACCTTCAACCATTCATCCAGATGCACCCCATGGTAGTGGCAGTGCCCCTTCTGGTAAGTGTACCAGGTGGGGGATTACAGCCAGGCTGCTTGGTCCTAACCCTGGGAGTGTATATTGCTAATATATTTTTATTTCTCTCCCTAGAACGTTAGAGAAAGCCATGGTCTGCATCTGAGGTGAAGGCTGTGGAGAAGACCATGACACCTTTCATACAGACTGGAAAGGTCCCTGGGAAGTCTCACTGCCTGCCTGGCCTGGCCTGGCCTGGCCTGCATTAATGCCTCACCAGATGACCTTAGACATCGGACATGGAGTGGCATTAAATTCTATGTCAAAAATAGAATCACTGCAATTCGAAAACAAAATCTAAAATAAAATTCCTTTAAAATAGTTGTTTGGTTTCTATTGACTGTTTTGTATTACTTAAAGTCTTGGTAAAAAAAGATTATGTCTATGGGTCCCATTCTGAACGGCCCTGTCAAAGGGACCCACCAGGTAACAAAAACGTGTATGTGTGTGTGTGTGTGTCTGTGTGTGTATGTGTGTGTGTGTGTGTGTGTGTGTGTGTGTGTGGGTGTGTGGGTGTGTGTGTGTGCGCAGACCGCTGCTTGTGACCCTCACCTCCACAGTCATCAGGGCCTTGTAGAGTTGAGGCTGAGGACTGCACTTCCTCGCATCAAAGAGAACAGTCAAACCGGCCTCATGGACCTCCCTGAAACACACAGCCTCAGTCCTGGGTCTGCAGCCTCAGTCCTGGGTCTACAGCCTCAGTCCTGGGTCTACAGTCTCAGTCCTGGGTCTACTGCCTCAGTCCTGGGTCTACAGTCTCAGTCCTGGGTCTACAGCCTCAGTCCTGGGTCTACAGCCTCAGTCCTGGGTCTACAGTCTCAGTCCTGGGTCTACAGCCTCAGTCCTGGTCTACGGCCTCAGTCCTGGGTCTACAGCCTCAGTCCTGGGTCTACAGTCTCAGTCTTGGGTCTACAGCCTCAGTCTTGGGTCTACAGCCTCAGTCCTGGGTCTACGGCCTCAGTCCTGGTCTACAGCCTCAGTCCTGGGTCTACAGCCTCAGTCCTGGGTCTACGGCCTCAGTCCTGGGTCTACAGCCTCAGTCCTGGGTCTACGGCCTCAGTCCTGGGTCTACGGCCTCAGTCCTGGGTCTACAGCCTCAGTCCTGGGTCTACGGCCTCAGTCCTGGGTCTACAGCCTCAGTCCTGGGTCTACAGCCTCAGTCCTGGGTCTACGGCCTCAGTCCTGGGTCTACGGCCTCAGTCCTGGGTCTACAGCCTCAGTCCTGGGTCTACAGCCTCAGTCCTGGGTCTACAGCCTCAGTCCTGGGTCTACAGCCTCAGTCCTGGGTCTACAGCCTCAGTCCTGGGTCTACAGCCTCAGTCCTGGGTCTACGGCCTCAGTCCTGGGTCTACGGCCTCAGTCCTGGGTCTACAGCCTCAGTCCTGGGTCTACAGCCTCAGTCCTGGGTCTACAGCCTCAGTCCTGGGTCTACAGTACCTGGTGATGGAGTAGAAGTACAGCAGCACTTTGAACAGCTCCTGACTGGTCACGGCTCCTCTCCAGCCTGGATGGTCCCCGTACACCTCCACCACCGCCCTGCCCCCTCTGTCTCTGCCTCCTGCAACACACACACACACACACACACACACACACACACACACACACACACACACACACACACACACACACACAGACACACAGACACACACACACACACACACACAGACACAGACACACACAGACACACACACACACACACACACACACACACACACACACACACACACACACACACACACAGACACACACACACACAGACACACACAGACACACACACACACACACACACACAGACACACACAGACACACACACACACACACACACACACACACACACACACACACACACACACACACACAGACACACACACACACACATTGATGTGTGGTTTATTTTGATGGAAGATGAATAAGGGTCCAGAGAATGTGCATGAGATCCTTTCAGGAACCTCAGTCTGACACCTGTAGCAGTGTGTATGGTTCAGTCTGACACCTGTAGCAGTGTGTATGGTTCAGTCTGACACCTGTAGCAGTGTGTATGGTTCAGTCTGACACCTGTAGCAGTGTGTATGGTTCAGTCTGACACCTGTAGTAGTGTGTATGGTTCAGTCTGACACCTGTAGCAGTGTGTATGGTTCAGTCTGACACCTGTAGCAGTGTGTATGGTTCAGTCTGACACCTGTAGCAGTGTGTATGGTTCAGTCTGACACCTGTAGCAGTGTGTATGGTTCAGTCTGACACCTGTAGCAGTGTGTATGGTTCAGTCTGACACCTGTAGCAGTGCATATGGTTCAGTCTGACACCTGTAGCAGTGTGTATGGTTCAGTCTGACACCTGTAGCAGTGTGTATGGTTCAGTCTGACACCTGTAGCAGTGTGTATGGTTCAGTCTGACACCTGTAGCAGTGTGTATGGTTCAGTCTGACACCTGTAGTAGTGTGTATGGTTCAGTCTGACACCTGTAGTAGTGTGTATGGTTCAGTCTGACACCTGTAGCAGTGTGTATGGTTCAGTCTGACACCTGTAGCAGTGTGTATGGTTCAGTCTGACACCTGTAGCAGTGTGTATGGCTCAGTCTGACACCTGTAGCAGTGTGTATGGTTCAGTCTGACACCTGTAGTAGTGTGTATGGTTCAGTCTGACACCTGTAGCAGTGTGTATGGTTCAGTCTGACACCTGTAGCAGTGTGTATGGTTCAGTCTGACACCTGTAGCAGTGTGTATGGTTCAGTCTGACACCTGTAGCAGTGTGTATGGTTCAGTCTGACACCTGTAGCAGTGCATATGGTTCAGTCTGACACCTGTAGCAGTGTGTATGGTTCAGTCTGACACCTGTAGCAGTGTGTATGGTTCAGTCTGACACCTGTAGCAGTGTGTATGGTTAGGTCTGACACCTGTAGCAGTGCGTATGGTTCAGTCTGACACCTGTAGCAGTGTGTATGGCTCAGTCTGACACCTGTAGCAGTGTGTATGGTTCAGTCTGACACCTGTAGCAGTGTGTATGGTTCAGTCTGACACCTGTAGCAGTGTGTATGGTTCAGTCTGACACCTGTAGCAGTGCATATGGTTTAGTCTGACACCTGTAGCAGTGTGTATGGTTCAGTCTGACACCTGTAGCAGTGTGTATGGTTCAGTCTGACACCTGTAGCAGTGTGTATGGTTCAGTCTGACACCTGTAGCAGTGTGTATGGTTCAGTCTGACACCTGTAGCAGTGTGTATGGTTCAGTCTGACACCTGTAGCAGTGTGTATGGTTCAGTCTGACACCTGTAGCAGTGTGAATGGTTCAGTCTGACACCTGTAGCAGTGTGTATGGCTCAGTCTGACACCTGTAGCAGTATGTATGGTTCAGTCTGACACCTGTAGCAGTGTGTATGGTTCAGTCTGACACCTGTAGCAGTGTGTATGGTTCAGTCTGACACCTGTAGCAGTGCATATGGTTCAGTCTGACACCTGTAGCAGTGTGTATGGTTCAGTCTGACACCTGTAGCAGTGTGTATGGTTCAGTCTGACACCTGTAGCAGTGCGTATGGTTCAGTCTGACACCTGTAGCAGTGTGTATGGTTCAGTCTGACACCTGTAGCAGTGTGTATGGCTCAGTCTGACACCTGTAGCAGTGTGTATGGTTCAGTCTGACACCTGTAGCAGTGTGTATGGTTCAGTCTGACACCTGTAGCAGTGTGTATGGTTCAGTCTGACACCTGTAGCAGTGTGTATGATTCAGTCTGACACCTGTAGCAGTGTGTATGGCTCAGTCTGACACCTGTAGCAGTGTGTATGGTTCAGTCTGACACCTGTAGCAGTGTGTATGGTTCAGTCTGACACCTGTAGCAGTGTGTATGGTTCAGTCTGACACCTGTAGCAGTGTGTATGGTTCAGTCTGACACCTGTAGCAGTGTGTATGGTTCAGTCTGACACCTGTAGCAGTGTGTATGGTTCAGTCTGACACCTGTAGCAGTGCATCTGGTTCAGTCTGACACCTGTAGCAGTGTGTATGGTTCAGTCTGACACCTGTAGCAGTGTGTATGGCTCAGTCTGACACCTGTAGCAGTGTGTATGGCTCAGTCTGACACCTGTAGCAGTGTGTATGGCTCAGTCTGACACCTGTAGCAGTGCATATGGTTCAGTCTGACACCTGTAGCAGTGCATATGGTTCAGTCTGACACCTGTAGCAGTGTGTATGGTTCAGTCTGACACCTGTAGCAGTGTGTATGGTTCAGTCTGACACCTGTAGCAGTGCATATGGTTCAGTCTGACACCTGTAGCAGTGCATATGGTTCAGTCTGACACCTGTAGCAGTGTGTATGGTTCAGTCTGACACCTGTAGCAGTGTGTATGGTTCAGTCTGACACCTGTAGCAGTGTGTATGGTTCAGTCTGACACCTGTAGCAGTGTGTATGGTTCAGTCTGACACCTGTAGCAGTGTGTATGGTTCAGTCTGACACCTGTAGCAGTGTGTATGGTTCAGTCTGACACCTGTAGCAGTGTGTATGGCTCAGTCTGACACCTGTAGCAGTGTGTATGGCTCAGTCTGACACCTGTAGCAGTGCATATGGTTCAGTCTGACACTGTAGCTGTAGCAGTGCACTGTAGCAGTGGTATTCAGTCTGACACCTGTAGCAGTGTGTATGGTTCTGTCTGACACCTGTAGCAGTGTGTATGGTTCTGTCTGACACCTGTAGCAGTGTGTATGGTTCAGTCTGACACCTGTAGCAGTGTGTATGGTTCAGTCTGACACCTGTAGCAGTGTGTATGGTTCAGTCTGACACCTGTAGCAGTGTGTATGGTTCAGTCTGACACCTGTAGCAGTGTGTATGGTTCAGTCTGACACCTGTAGCAGTGTGTATGGTTCAGTCTGACACCTGTAGCAGTGTGTATGGTTCAGTCTGACACCTGTAGCAGTGTGTATGGTTCAGTCTGACACCTGTAGTAGTGTGTATGGTTCAGTCTGACACCTGTAGCAGTGTGTATGGTTCAGTCTGACACCTGTAGCAGTGTGTATGGTTCAGTCTGACACCTGTAGCAGTGTGTATGGTTCAGTCTGACACCTGTAGTAGTGTGTATGGTTCAGTCTGACACCTGTAGCAGTGTGTATGGTTCAGTCTGACACCTGTAGTAGTGTGTATGGTTCAGTCTGACACCTGTAGTAGTGTGTATGGTTCAGTCTGACACCTGTAGTAGTGTGTATGGTTCAGTCTGACACCTGTAGTAGTGTGTATGGTTCAGTCTGACACCTGTAGCAGTGTGTATGGTTCAGTCTGACACCTGTAGCAGTGTGTATGGTTCAGTCTGACACCTGTAGCAGTGTGTATGGTTCAGTCTGACACCTGTAGCAGTGTGTATGGTTCAGTCTGACACCTGTAGCAGTGTGTATGGTTCAGTCTGACACCTGTAGCAGTGTGTATGGTTCAGTCTGACACCTGTAGCAGTGCATATGGTTCAGTCTGACACCTGTAGCAGTGTGTATGGCTCAGTCTGACACCTGTAGTAGTGTGTATGGTTCAGTCTGACACCTGTAGCAGTGCATATGGTTCAGTCTGACACCTGTAGCAGTGTGTATGGTTCAGTCTGACACCTGTAGCAGTGCATATGGTTCAGTCTGACACCTGTAGCAGTGTGTATGGTTCAGTCTGACACCTGTAGCAGTGTGTATGGTTCAGTCTGACACCTGTAGCAGTGTGTATGGTTCAGTCTGACACCTGTAGCAGTGTGTATGGTTCAGTCTGACACCTGTAGCAGTGTGTATGGTTCAGTCTGACACCTGTAGCAGTGTGTATGGTTCAGTCTGACACCTGTAGCAGTGTGTATGGTTCAGTCTGACACCTGTAGCAGTGTGTATGTTGACAGACCTGTGAGAGCAGCGACTCCTTGGAGCACAGGGCCTCCCTGGAGCACAGGGCCTCCCTGGAGCACAGGGCCTCCCTGGAGCACAGGGCCTCCCTGGAGCACAGGGTCTCCCTGGAGCACAGGGCCTCCCTGGAGCACAGGGCCTCCCTGGAGCACAGGGCCTCCCTGGAGCACAGGGTCTCCCTGGAGCACAGGGCCTCCCTGGAGCACAGGGTCTCCCTGGAGCACAGGGCCTCCCTGGAGCACAGGGTCTCCCTGGAGCACAGGGTCTCCTGGTCCTGTGGAGCACAGGGACAGAGGCTCAGGTCTGGGGCAGGGTCCTGAGGAGGACTCTAAAGCAAAGGAACCTGTTTACATCTGTATACAGACGGACAATGCTAACCTACTAGCTCAATGGAGTCCAATAGGGAAGTGCTCATGTATGAAGTTTGGCTCCTCCCTCTGACTCCTACTGACTAATGTATAAAAGTAAACTCCTCTAACTCAGAAACGTTTGTGTCACACTTGCCTGACTACAGGTGTATGAGTGAGCACCTGTGGGGGGTCTTCTCCTGCTGGTCTTGGGCGACACCAGTCTAAAGGCGGTGCTGTTCTTGCACTTGACCACGTGCAGCTGTGGCACGCCGGGCTCAGCGTTCTGCTTCCTGCGAACCTTCTGCCCGTCCACCATCACCACTTCACACTGCTCTGAGGTGTCCACCACCGCCGTGGACAGGGAGGAGCAGCGGCCGTCCCCCGAGCTCCTCCTGCTGAAACCTCCTGCTGCTCTGGGAGGCAGCTCGCTAGTGCTCGGCGCGATGCTAGCTTCTAGCTTTGCCGCGACACCACCGCTGTCCTCCACACAGGGGGCGCTGTTCTGACCTGCTCTGAAACAGCTGTTCGTCTGTCGGCTTTGTTCACAGAGACTCTGCTCTGTGGTGTTAGGGTCCCTGTGAGTCGCTCTCTGCTCTGTGGTGTTAGGGTCCCTGTGAGTCGCTCTCTGCTCTGTGGTGTTAGGGTCCCTGTGAGTCCCTCTCTGCTCTGTGGTGTTAGGGTCCCTGTGAGTCGCTCTCTGCTCTGTGGTGTTAGGATCCCTGTGAGTCGCTCTCTGCTCTGTGGTGTTAGGATCCCTGTGAGTCGCTCTCTGCTCTGTGGTGTTAGGGTCCCTGTGAGTCGCTCTCTGCTCTGTGGTGTTAGGGTCCCTGTGAGTCCCTCTCTGCTCTGTTGTGTTAGGGTCCCTGTGAGTCCCTCTCTGCTCTGTGGTGTTAGGATCCCTGTGAGTCCCTCTCTGCTCTGTGGTGTTAGGGTCCCTGTGAGTCCCTCTCTGCTCTGTGGTGTTAGGATCCCTGTGAGTCCCTCTCTGCTCTGTGGTGTTAGGGTCCCTGTGAGTCCCTCTCTGCTCTGTGGTGTTAGGATCCCTGTGAGTCGCTCTCTGCTCTGTGGTGTTAGGGTCCCTGTGAGTCGCTCTCTGCTCTGTGGTGTTAGGATCCCTGTGAGTCGCTCTCTGCTCTGTGGTGTTAGGGTCCCTGTGAGTCCCTCTCTGCTCTGTGGTGTTAGGATCCCTGTGAGTCGCTCTCTGCTCTGTGGTGTTAGGGTCCCTGTGAGTCGCTCTCTGCTCTGTGGTGTTAGGGTCCCTGTGAGTCGCTCTCTGCTCTGTGGTGTTAGGGTCCCTGTGAGTCGCTCTCTGCTCTGTGGTGTTAGGGTCCCTGTGAGTCCCTCTCTGCTCTGTGGTGTTAGGGTCCCTGTGAGTCCCTCTCTGCTCTGTGGTGTTAGGATCCCTGTGAGTCGCTCTCTGCTCTGTGGTGTTAGGGTCCCTGTGAGTCGCTCTCTGCTCTGTGGTGTTAGGATCCCTGTTAGTCGCTCTCTGCTCTGTGGTGTTAGGGTCCCTGTGAGTCCCTCTCTGCTCTGTGATGTTAGGGTCCCTGTGAGTCCCTCTCTGCTCTGTGGTGTTAGGGTCAGACTCTTCCTCCACCACAGAGCACATGGTCTTCCACATGGTCTTCCTCATGGTTTGCTGGATCGCTGCTTGGTATGAGTCCCGGTACTTCCCCCTGAGCCCCTGAGCTCTGGACGCTTTGCCGACAGGACGCTGCACAGACGCCGAGGCTTTGGTCGAGTCCAAACTGGAATGGTGCTTAGTGTCGGGAGATGCTAGCGAAGGTGCTAGCGAAGGCTCTAGCGAAGGCTCTAGCCAAGGCTCTAGCGAAGGCTCCAGCAAAGATGCTAGCGAAGGCGCTAGCGAAGGCGCTAGCGAAGGCGCTAGCGAAGGTGCTAGCGAAGGCTCCAGCAAAGATGCTAGCGAAGGCGCTAGCGAAGGCTCTAGCGAAGGCTCTAGCGAAGGCTCCAGCAAAGATGCTAGCGAAGGCGCTAGCGAAGGCTCTAGCGAAGGCGCTAGCGAAGGCGCTAGCGAAGGCGCTAGCAAAGGCGGCAGCGAGCTGCGGTCGGGCTGCGGCCTCGGAGGTGGCCTCACGGAGCTGAACGTGGTCAGGGGCCTCGGTCTCTGAGGATCCATTGTTCGCGGTTGTGAGAGCGTGATCGTCTGCACGCTGCTCACCTGCTGTGTCTCTTTCTGATTCAACAAATGTGTGTTCCCAAACAACATGGCCGCCTGCGTCACGTCGATGTAGTCCCCCTGGTTAATATCTCGTTCTTTGCTACAGTTCCCAGAATCCTCTCCAGTCGTAACCTCGGTCTCTTGGATGTGGCGAGCGCTCGGAGACACCCACACGACAGGTTTCGCTTCTCGCTTTTTACAAACTGATGCTACACTAGCATCCACCAAACGCAACGACACCGCGATCCCGTGTTTGGCCGGCCGGATCCTGGTCTGGACTGAGTAGTTCTGGTTTGCTGCTGGTTTGGAAAGTGCTGCTTCAGAGTCCAGACGCACAGGTGGAGAAGGCGGGACGGTTCTGTACGACATTATACTGCAGTCGAGCTTCACCACGCCCTGCTCACAACCAGACAGCTCCTGAAGAACTGAGAACCATGGCAGCTGAGGTTCTCCTCTGAGGTTCTCCTCTGAGGTTCTCCTCTGAGGTTCCCACTGAGGTTCTCCTCTGAGGTTCTCCTCTGAGGTTCTCCTCTGAGGTTCTCCTCTGTGGTTCTCCTCTCAGGTTCTCCTCTGAGGTTCTCTTCTGAGGTTCTCCTCTGTGGTTCTCCTCTGAGGTTCTCCTCTGTGGTTCTCCTCTCAGGTTCTCCTCTGAGGTTCTCTTCTGAGGTTCTCCTCTGAGGTTCTCCTCTGTGGTTCTCCTCTCAGGTTCTCCTCTGAGGTTCTCTTCTGAGGTTCTCCTCTGAGGTTCTCCTCTGTGGTTCTCCTCTGTGGTTCTCCTCTGAGGTTCTCCTCTGAGGTTCTCCTCTGAGGTTCTCCTCTGTGGTTCTCCTCTGTGGTTCTCCTCTGAGGTTCTCCTCTGAGGTTCTCCTCTGTGGTTCTCCTCTGTGGTTCTCCTCTGAGGTTCTCCTCTGAGGTTCTCCTCTGTGGTTCTCCTCTGTGGTTCTCCTCTGAGGTTCTCTTCTGTGGTTCCCACTGAGGTTCTCCTCTGAGGTTCTCCTCTGAGGTTCTCCTCTGAGGTTCTCTTCTGTGGTTCCCACTGAGGTTCTCCTCTGAGGTTCTCCTCTGAGGTTCCCACTGAGGTTCTCCTCTGAGGTTCTCCTCTGAGGTTCCGCTGAGGTTCCCACTGAGGTTTTCCTCTGAGGTTCTCTTCTGTGGTTCCTGCTGAGGTCCCTGCTGAGGTCCCTGCTGAGGTCCCTGCTGAGGTCCCTGCTGAGGTTCCGCTGAGGTTCCCGCTGAGCAGACGGCGGGCGGCGGTCTCTGGGAATTGAGTCTCTTCTCTTAGGGCGTGGTCCCGGCTCAGTCCCGCCTCCTCCAGCCGACTGCAGACCAGGAGGTTAGCTGATTTGTCACTGAATGGCGCCACCTGGAGGTAGAAGTCTCCGGTTCGATGGGGGAGAGGGGGGAGAGGGGGAGAGGGGGGAGAGGGGGGAGAGGGGGAGAGGGGGGAGAGGGGGGAGAGGGGGAGGATGATGAGGGCTCTTAAACACAAACCCCTGTAACGGAGACTGAAACACAGAAGAAGAAGGGTTGAGAGACCAGACAAACACCTGCTGAATGTGGAGAGTGAGAGGGGGGAGAGGGGGGAGGAGAAGGGGAGAGGGGGGAGAGGGGGGAGAGGGATGGAGAGGGCGAGAGAGGTGTCAGAGGAGGGTGAGAGGTGAGAGGGGGGTGAGAGGTCAGAGGGGGGTGAGAGGTGAGAGGGGGTGAGAGGTAAGAGGGGGTGAGAGGTCAGAGGGAGGTGAGAGGTGAGAGGGGGTGAGAGGTCAGAGGGGGGTGAGAGGTGAGAGGGGGTGAGAGGTGAGAGGGGGTGAGAGGTCAGAGGGGGTGAGAGGTCAGAGGGGGGAGGCGTCAGAGGGGAGTGAGAGGTCAGAGGGGGTGAGAGGTCAGAGGGGGTGAGAGATCAGAGGGGGTGAGAGGTCAGAGGGGGTGAGAGGTCAGAGGGGGGTGAGAGGTCAGAGGGGGTGAGAGGTGAGAGGGGGTGAGAGGTGAGAGGGGGTGAGAGGTCAGAGGGGGGTGAGAGGTCAGAGGGGGTGAGAGGTGAGAGGGGGTGAGAGGTCAGAGGGGGGTGAGAGGTGAGAGGGGGTGAGAGGTAAGAGGGGGTGAGAGGTCAGAGGGAGGTGAGAGGTGAGAGGGGGTGAGAGGTCAGAGGGGGGTGAGAGGTGAGAGGGGGTGAGAGGTCAGAGGGGGTGAGAGGTCAGAGGGGGGAGGCGTCAGAGGGGAGTGAGAGGTCAGAGGGGGTGAGAGGTGAGAGGGGGTGAGAGGTCAGAGGGGGGTGAGAGGTGAGAGGGGGTGAGAGGTGAGAGGGGGTGAGAGGTCAGAGGGGGGTGAGAGGTGAGAGGGGGTGAGAGGTGAGAGGGGGTGAGAGGTCAGAGGGGGGTGAGAGGTGAGAGGGGGTGAGAGGTAAGAGGGGGTGAGAGGTCAGAGGGAGGTGAGAGGTGAGAGGGGGTGAGAGATCAGAGGGGGGAGGCGTCAGAGGGGAGTGAGAGATCAGAGGGGGTGAGAGGTCAGAGGGGGGAGGCGTCAGAGGGGAGTGAGAGGTCAGAGGGAGGTGAGAGGTGAGAGGGGGTGAGAGGTCAGAGGGGGGTGAGAGGTGAGAGGGGGTGAGAGGTGAGAGGGGGTGAGAGGTCAGAGGGGGGTGAGAGGTGAGAGGGGGTGAGAGGTAAGAGGGGGTGAGAGGTCAGAGGGAGGTGAGAGGTGAGAGGGGGTGAGAGATCAGAGGGGGGAGGCGTCAGAGGGGAGTGAGAGATCAGAGGGGGTGAGAGGTCAGAGGGGGGAGGCGTCAGAGGGGAGTGAGAGGTCAGAGGGGGGGAGGGGTCAGAGGGGGGTGAGAGGTCAGAGGGGGTGAGAGGTCAGAGGGGGTGAAAGGTCAGAGGGGGGTGAGAGGTCAGAGGGGGGTGAGAGGTCAGAGGGGGGTGAGAGGTCAGAGGGGGTGAGAGGTCAGAGGGGGTGAGAGGTCAGAGGGGGTGAGAGATCAGAGGGGGTGAGAGGTCAGAGGGGGTGAGAGGTCAGAGGGGGGTGAGAGGTCAGAGGGGGT